CTCTTTCATCAAGGATTGTTTCTTTCAGACAATATTTCACCATTGTCTTGTATGTTAAAAAGGAAACAAAAATACACAAAAAAAAGCCAAACAAAAATATTTGTACAAGACAATAAATACAGTATTTGCCCAGGTTTCAAGTTATTTTAAGCTTTTCAGTTAAATACAATATGAATTAAACCTTGAATTCCTAAATTTATTAGGTGAATACCCAACACAGTCATTTCCCTTGTGTTCCTATAACCCTTCAAATTTGTCTAAATGGTTAGAAAAATAAAACTCAATAGCATGCAAACCAAGAAATTGACTGAACGTCACACTGCATCAAAAGCTTCTCTCTTTCTGTGTACTTTTCTATTGCCAGTAAATAAAAGTAGTAAAATAAAATAATAACCATTTTCTTGCAATTTGCATGAACACTGCATCCCACAGATATGCTTTCTATGTAATTCAAGGAATATTTACAAGAAATCCTGTAAAGAAAATTGCCCAGTACCACAAATTATCAGATTGGGGTGGGGGAAAAATGTTTCATTTGACTGTCTTCAAAGGTTACGAAAAAAACCCATTTCTTGTGTTGTACTGAGTAACACACATTTCATTGTATGTTACATGTGGCAAAAACTCAAGACCACCACTAAACCCCTGGGCCAAGAGAAAAAAGATCACCGGTCACATTTTTTTGCTGTAGTTACTGTCATATGTATTAAAACTTAATGTATAAAGATGTAAATACACCAACTACCTATTTTGCTAATGGAGTCACTCTTTAACATGATTTTCATTTTTAATTTTACCTTCTTATTGCGATATTCAAATTGCAGCAGATTAAAATGTAAGAGTTAAAGCAGATTAAAAAAGTAAGGGTTCTCATAGATTTGAGCTTTATAGCTCAAAGCTATAAAACTCAAAACTATGTAGAACCCTTATTTTTTTAACAAGCAAGTAAAAATGTTGCATACATAAAGGTGAAGCTAAATACTTGGGCTAGTGATTTTGTATTTTCTCCACAAACTTTATGTTTAGATCACTCAAGAGAACTCTGTGTGGAATGACTGTTGCCAGAAAAATTACTTGGTGAGATGCCTCCTCTATTTTCCTTGCCCCCACCATGCAAATTTTTTTCCTGCTCCTCACCACTTTTCCTTCATGCCCATTTTATGTTCTTAAAAAAAATCCCACATTTTTAACATCAGGATCTTCCAACCATTTCCACAAATTCTCCCATCAGACAAAAGTTCTCTCATGCTTGTTCAATCACTTCTGCACAGCAAGGGAAAAAGAACCATACTAAATTTCCCTTTGCAAAATAAATGGGTTTACAAAACAGCTATTGAAAGAGGAATATACAAAATCTCCACAGAGCTCTTGCATGATTGTGTGTGCTTAATATTGTAATAGGATAAAGGTTAAGCATAATATTGTTTGACCCCTTCAACTACTGACATTCATGCCATGTTATTGTTAGTGTTGCATGTTAAGCAAGCAAATTTTCAATGAACTTGTGTTGGCTTTACCACAGACACAGATGTTAGGCGGACTCCTTCGATCATAAGGTTCTCATTATTAACTGAAACCAAGTTGAATATTTGACTGAAGGAAAGGACCATATCATTGTTTTCAGATTTTGCTCTATGACTTAACTGAACTACATCTGCCAGCTTTGGAAATACCAAGTACTTCTTGGCGCCAGTACTGGCGCCTTGCTCTATGACTACCATCTTAAGTGCTTCAGCTTGAGGAAGTCTAGTAACCATCAAAACAGTTTAATAAAAACTTAAAACTGTGATTAAGAGTTACTCACTAGATGACAGAGTGCCCTGAAATTTGTTCTATTTATGAATAATTTCACAAAATAAGCAAATAATAGTAAACTGAATGCATGGCTGTAAATACATAGCTTAGAAAATTCACAAGATGTTTTGTGATTTATGAAGTCTGTTATACTTGAAACCACATTGATTTAATAGATAGGCTGGCACTTCACAGGATAATTCAATCTGCTTCAAATCTATTTAAAGCCTTCGGGAAACATAAGGGATGCTCTGAATATAAACACAATTCCACTTTTCACCTTTTTGCACTACTGTCTCAGGATAAAACTGAAAAGTATCACACTCATATGGAAGATCTCCATTTATAAAAAATGCTGTTGAAGATGAAATAACTCCACAATTTGTGCTAACCCAAATATAGGAACTATTTTACACAGCAAATCAATTAAATGTTATCATTCACTTTTCTGAATATGTCCTGAGGCTATCTGAATTAAAATAAACAACACATCACACTTTCTTCCTCAGAAACAGCAAAAGCAAAGTGTCTGTGTTTTATTAAACTTAGATAATTAATACAAAAAATATAGATGGCTATTCTGCAAACAAACAGGTGTGTTTTTTCTCAATACAGGACAAGGGAATATGTTAGTAGGAAGGGGAAAATAAATGACTGAACAGAAAAATAGTGTAAAAAGTCCCAAAGGATAAAAATCAGCATTTTCAGACTATTAATGATGCAATCTCAGCTCAAACTAATCATGCTTATTTCACTTACCATGCTGAATGTCCCTCATGTCTAAATGAAGACTAGACATTAATATTCCAACAGCTTGAGATCTTTTGTTACTTAATAACTTGACAACCTGCCAAAAGAAACCCAATGATTAGTATTAATCTGTAGGAAAACTTACAGGATAGTTCACATTACTAACAAAAAATCTAGAAATAGTACCTTGTGGTCTATTAAAAAATAATTAAATTACTCATTTTTAGATTTAAAGTTTTCTTCTGCTGCATAAATCCATTGATAGTGTTAGAAACTATGTCACCTAGTCGAATATAAATATTAAGAAAGTGACTATAGAAGCTCCTCTAGACTTCTTCCTTCATTAGGATGCACACATTAAACTTCACACTGATGTTACAAAGTGTATGAAACAGGCTGTCATATAAAAAGAAATTCCAACTGTGTCCATCTTAGAGTTGCTTTGGTTTCCAAAACCACACAATGATTTCCATCTTTGATGTAAGCTAAAACTGTGAGAATTTGTATTTTATTTGAATGTTTGACGTAGTAGGCACCAATATGATTTTTATTTTAAAAGCAAAATAACCACGTACACATTGGGATTTTCTTTGATCACTTTTAAGGAATATAAAAGGTTCCAAAACTTATTTTGTTTATAAAATAAACAGAAAAATTAAAATCAAGCCATCAAAACATCTTGCTTTGTGGGGTTAAAATTAGGCACCAAAATACACATTCCTACATATTAGCTTTTCAAGCATAAAAACAACAAATAATTAACAGGCTGTCTTATACAGGGCTCTAAGCTGTTTGAATTCAACTTACTGTGAGTTTTGTATCATGGGCATGAGAAGCAAGGACTGCAAGGAAAAGACCCTTATCTCTAAATCAGTGTGATTCTAGATGAAGCATTTTTTAGTGCAAAAATTCAGTAGAAGGAAGAGGTTAATATTTAATCTACTGTGGTTGTTAAGTTTTACACTGCACTAAATACACTTAAGAAAACCTTTGTGAATCACTTGGAGGAAAGAAGAAAAGCCAGATGACTGACCTGTAAGTTCAAGTTCTTTTTATACCACAGTCAGGAAGCACATATATATTTTTTCAAGTTGCATAATTCCTAACTGAGCACCAAGGTGCTGTATCATCTACAGCCCCACTGGCAAAATTATTTATAAATTAACTAGCAGAAATCAGATTGCAGAAAGTAGAATTAAGTCAGCCAGAGTAAAGAATGTCATGATCTAATTCACATCTTACAAAAAAACATAAAAGTATCCACAAGATGTTTGCCCTGTGGCCAACTTTGACTCACTTAAGTTCTCAGACACAGGATTGTAATTTTGACGTTTGAGCGGTAGCTGTAGAGAAGTAAAAGCCTGACCTAGAATTCTACCACTGGTATTGCTTAGGAAAGTAAACTTGAGAAACTCAGAGCGCTTGCAGTATAGGTTTTCTGAGGATTGGGTTGGCTGGCCAATTGTTTTATTAATTTATTTTTTTTTCCCTTAAACCTTCATAACCATTGATTATGAAGGTATTTCATCCTCCTTTCCTCACAGAATCCTAACTATTTACAATGAAATGCAAATACAGCATTCTGCTCATGAACTGAAAAAACATTAACTTTAGAAACCAAGTATGTCTTCAATATCATTCACAAGGTTAAAGAGCAAAATTCATAGCTTATCTGGAGTAAGGTGCACATTTCTTGTCATTCATATTCTGCAAAAATGAAATACAAGTTGAACTGAGGCAAGCTACTGCTGGCCAGAAGTAAAATAAAACAAGAGAAGAAAACAGAGTAAAATAGCTTTGTTGAGGTTGTCTTCCTCAAAACAATGTTAGAACTGCATTCAGGCTTGAATGCACCTAGGACTAGGGGAAGGGTCCACAACTTAACCTCTGCAAAGGAAGTAGAATTACACTGTTTTCTCTTGGAGGCCTAAAGAGTAAGGATGAGCTGCAGACTGTTTTTGGGAAAATCTGAGTTGTAATGGTGTCAGCACCCATATCTGTTTCTACCACCCATCAGCAATCTAAAATTTAGCTACTCAGATTATGTCTACAAATACAGCAAGGGGACAAACACTAGAGAAAAAAGAATCAAATAAATTATGTTTTTATGGTGCAGACTAGAACACGATTTCTTAGGGACCATGATTCTCATCAATGCTACAGGAGCAGATTTAGTGGCCTAGAAAATGCCTTCAAGTCTTGTGCTCTAAAAGGAATTTGGCCTATAAGTTATCAGGAAAAAGAAGCTGCTTTTTTGTGAACTTATGCACAGGGAAATAAGTGTTTATTGAATGTCACATTTTGCCAGTGATCAGAAGGTAAAAAAACATAAGTACTGTGCGTGTGAAGAACAGGTTGGCTGCCAAAATTCTGAACCACAACACTGAAAGAGTACTCAAGAGTATGACTGTCAGGTAAATGGGTGCAAACCAGCAACCAATAAAGGATTTTTTTATAGCAACTACCAGTTTTGTCTGGCTTTACTTAAAATGTAGGGTTTATGTCAACTTGTATACTAGTCTCTATTACGCATTTCATTCCCATTTCAGTCAATTGTATGAATGCTACCATTTCCTCCAATAGAATGGCTGTAACAATACAACACTAATTCAGAAAATATGAATATTAGCATAAATGCCTAAACAATTCCCACATTTAAAAATAAAACAAAATAAATCAGCTGCATAGTCTGGACCTACAGGCTACAGATGAGTGACGCCACTTAAAGGCAGAACAACAAAAGTTTGATAAATCCAATCTCTACAAGATCTAAAGCCTAAGACACAATACACAGCTCTTTTTATGTTGCATTTTGGAACTCTGCTTTAAAGAAATTTAAAAAAAATAAATAAATAAAAAGGAAGCTAAAGATATTATCTGCAGCCTGAAATCTAGAACAAGCTTTCTAATTGTTGAGTGGTCCTCATTGCTAAGCAGTAAACAAACTACATGCCAAATTTGTTCCTGATTGTTAAACACAAGCAAAACCAGACAAAGCTATTTAGTGAAAGGTAATACAACACACATGTTTGATGAGAACCCTGAAGAAAAAATGTGAAGATTCCCTTTCTCCAGAATAATATTTACTTAATGCATGGAATTTTGCAATTATTCTTGCTCTCTGGTTCTGATTTTAACTGCCAGCTTAGAGCAAAACTATCCCAAGACTCTCACTGGTTAAGAGATACTACTGTACATTATAAAATATCACATATAGGAAACTCCAGTGTACAAAAGCCTGTAGCTTGTAATAATTACAGAGAGGATGCAGAAACCCCACAATTCCAAACAAGATGTTGAGACAGGATCAGGGCAGTAAACGTTCTCGCTAGGCATTGGGACAACAGATCTTTTCTACAGATTCGAGAGTACTCCAAATGCAAAACTGGCAATCACAGAACTGGACTCATATCTTTTCCATGCATACCCCTGCCTTCTTACAGATACAACACAATAATATTACGCTCTTATGAGTGGGTGGGGACTTGTGTGTCTGGTTTGGGTTTTTTTTTTTTAAAAAGTAAATCCAGAAGTAACTTCTGGTTAGTAATGACAGTGTGAGAGCAGAAAAAGTGACTACTTCAAGTACTGAGGTAATTTTGGTACTATAGATCATCAAGTATTTCTACTAATTACTTACAGATAGAAAGCCAAACTCCCCAAATAAACACCTAATCCTGGCTGTCTAACTGCACACCATGTGCTGATGGTATATTATGATTCAGCTGTGCTCAACTTTTACCACAGAACATCAACCATGAACTATAATTTTGAGCATGTCTCTGGCTCCTACCCTAAATCAAACCTTGAACTGGTTACTTTGCCTATTGAAGATTCTCATAATCTGTAAGGAGGTACTTAATGTTTCCAATTTTTTTTTCATATGCTTTTAAATGCAATATATTGACATGTTATGCAAATTAGTGCAGCAGAGCAGCCATGTCTGCCAGTTTGTGGATGCCATAACTTTATGCTTGAGGGCAAAGATTAAACACAATATTTACTTTTATTTTATCTATTACCCTACTGTGCTTTCATAAATAAAGCTTTTAACGATACAGGTGAGAAACAGTTCATGACTTTGTATAGTGTTTTATGATAAAGTATTATTGTTAGAAATGAATAACAGAACTATTGATGTAGAAGTAAACTTTCACTAAGGTATTGCTGCCCCAGTTAATACTCCTTGCTTGTGACATTAGATGGAAAAATACTTAAGACTGCTTAGACACAGGCATACAGTAGTAAGTTAGGTAAGCATTGTGTTCCTCAACAGGAGGCTGAACAATAGCAAAATATCCCTTTAACAGAAAATAACATTATTCTAACTTTAAGGACTAGAGTAAGGGATGGGGATAAATAGCAAAATTTAAATTCTTTAGTTTAAAAATAGATCACAAATATTTTGTTTTTCCATACTTAAAGCTCCCCTTTGAGTGTTTAGCTCATTGTTATGTATCACAATTACAATTACTCCTTTTTTCATCAGCTAAAGCACCAGGGGTCTTAAAGTTTCATTTCTATTTTTTTAGATCTTATCTTTGTAACTCTCAAATGTCTCTGTGGGGTAGTAATGAAAATGCTTGTTAACATGTTGCAATACAAACTTAAAAAAAAATAAAAATGCAAAGAGTTTCCTTAGAAACTCTGTATAAAATGTAGTTTTCATGCATGATCTGCGATGCATTCAGTAGGCATATTTTTTTTTCAGGTGATCAGCCCAACTGCTATAAATAATTTTGTCACTGTGTACACTTCCTGTGTACACAGAAAATAGCACACACTTTCTGCAAACTCTTGCAAAACATATCGCATGCCCAAATACATTTGAAATTAGAAGTGTTAATTATGTTTTAAAAGTTCACACAAATCAGGGAGACAGACATGGAAGAATGAAGAGGCCTTAGGAAAGGGTAAAAAATGCAAAAAACCCCATCCTAACACAAAAAACTCCCAAAGAAAAGTGAGAACCCACTATGATATATAGTAGAAGGTATCAACAACAACCAAACAAAAAACTCCGTGCTTTAAAAGTTCTAGTGTTTCTCACTTTTAAAACGGAGGACATATGTTACAGTCAGAAGTATGACATTATTC